TAAAGAAGTCTGTTTGCATATTGATGTGGTTAAAGAAGGCCGCCGTCCTAGACTGATGCTCTTTCCTTTGTAGAAACGAGGAGATCGTGATGCCGGACGAGCAGACGGGTTTAGTGAAGGAGAATTATGTGTGGAGCGTCTTACTGCACCGCGGCGCCTCGTCCGAAGGCGTCTTTCTCCACCTGCCGCCCGGCAGCTACGACAACGACTTGTTCACCATGACGTGGGGTCCCACCATCGCTGCGCTCTCCTACGTCTTTGACAAGAGCCTCGATGACGTCATCATCCAGAAGGCCATCACGGGCTTCAGGTACGCAGCGCTCAGGTGTGCTTGTGGTAAATGCTGCGAGACGCTGTGAGGTGTAGCGCAGGATGTCCAGATCCACGGCTTAGCCTGCAGGAGCTCGGTCCACCCAGACACACGTTACTGTTATTAACTGTGGACGAATCGTGTGGTTACTGTGGGAGACAAAATGTTTTAAAACAGGCGTAGTGTTGAGTTGTTAAGCTGAAGTAAAGAATGAAACACTTTGTCAGCTGTTAAATGTGCCGTCGTCTGTGTTTGGCAGGAAATGTGCGATGATTGCAGCTCACTACGGCTTCAATGACGTGTTTGACAATCTGATCATCTCCCTCTGCAAGTTCACCACTCTGAGCAGCGAGGTGGGTCCACAGCTTCACAGCCAAACACACTGCCGTACCTTTAACACACAGGAAGTGCACATGTGACGCTGCTTCGTCCAATCACGTGGGGATCAGCTGATTAAAGAACACAGTTCCTGACGGTGTCACTGTCACTGGTTCACACAATCATCGTTTGATGGTTTGTGAAGAAAAACTGACCCCACATTAAAACATGTACAGAATGTAGCGTCTGCTAATATCTAAACACTGCTAACACACATAGTGCAGTGTCGTGAACTGTGATTGTGAGACACAGCAAACACTGAGCCGTGCCACACACAGCTGTAGTGAGGATGAGTGTGAGCAGTTTAAACTTGTGCAGACACACGTTTGTCGTCACTAATTAATTCATCCATTCATTTACTGTTACCTGCAGGTAGGGCTGCTCAATATATCTAATTTTAATCTCGATTACGATCTGGGCTTTCAACGATCATTAAAAATGACTG